AGCAGTCTTGGATCCGCAGCACCCGCCTGTGTCCGGCTGGTTGCTTTACTGTGCAGCCCTTCCTTATTCTGCTACAAACGTGTTTAAGGCTCTTCATGTTGTTTTACAGCTCTACTTTTTGTAATTCATAATAGCAATTCCAGTGTTCCTTGCCTTGTATTGCAGTTTCATTTCTAAGAAGTAATTACAGTGCTGCCCTCAATGGGATCAGGAGCACAGGAGGCGTCAGAAATAACGTGAGCGTTACCTCGTCTTATCTCGTTCCATTGTTTTGTTTCACAAAGCTTTGTACCGATATCTCTGTGATGTATCAGATACAGATTATAATTGAAGCACATGCGTGAAATCCATTCCAAGCAGAGATTGCTGCATTATTCCCTCTCATGGCTCTGTTGAAGTTAGTGGCAAGACTCCCGCTGGTTTAAGTGAGATTTCACTACAGAGTTCTCAAACGCTAGGAAGCAGATAAATCATATTCATGACACACCATAAATTTTATGTAGCATGTCCTGAGTTCTAGATCATCCCTGGCTGAAGGCAAGGAGCAGGACTGGAGCCTGGGGCTAAGCGTAGCGTGTTTCGTGTAGTGCCACCCCTAAGTTTGACATTGTTGCGTAACAAATGCAAAAGCTGACACTTAAACTTGGCACTTGCTGTTACTGCTGTTAGAAAGAAAAGCCTCAGTTAAGGTGCAGGACTGCTGTCTCTCAGAATTCAGCACTAGATTTTGTTTTAATCTGTGCAGTGATCATGAGAGGATCACTTCACCTACTTTGAGGGGACTGGGTGGTATTTTGGGACTCTGTAGACCCCTGCTCTTTTCTGCCTCTCTGCTGAACGTCTGGCGATTTCAACAGCATGCGTGGGCTTTCTGAGATCTCCGAATTCTCTAGCGCTGAACCTGATGGTCTTTCAGCAGAAGGCACGCTGTGATTCCAGATTTACTGACTTCACGGGGTTGCTCGTCATGTAAGTCTCACTCTTGCAGCTACACCTACACAACTCCTTCAGGGGTCAAGGGCTACTGTGCGCTTGCCGCGCCTGGGTGTTGCCCTTGTAAACTCGTGTGGCGATGTGAAAGTAGCTGCTTCTGAGTGGCATCTCAGTAGCAACTGGGGTCATTCTTTGTCAGCGCTGCCTCAAGCTTAGTGTTGAAAGACGGGAAGCCGCGTGCGTAATATTGGCTTTTGCATGGGGCAGGCCTTGTTGAGCAAGCTGTGAAGCTGCAACGTACGCTGTTGAGATGAGATACATCCTGTGCGTGTTCTGATTAGGGAAGGGGTGAAGAAAGCAGAGCCTGCTGCAGTGACCAGGAAATGTGGAGTTACACAAACCCAGCTCTGAATGCCAGCCTGCAGAGATTTCCTGAGAGCACGGCATCAAGGTGGCCTTCAGACAGACACACATGCCAGCGCAGGTGGCATCTTTGCCTCCACCTTGAGAAAGGAGTTCTCAAGAGCTGGAGTGACAGGGCTGGAGGCTGTTGGGGAAGCCTTGCTGCTCCTATGGGACTCGTGTGAGCACTCAGGAGGGAGCAGAATAGTGCTTTGCACGCAGGGGCAACCTGCCCCAGCTGCTGTCGTGCCAGAGGAACATGTTTCATTTTTATGACAAGAGAGTAGCAGCCCCTCTAAAGTGACTTGGGCAGGAGAGGCCACATTGCACAGACCCCAGGAAGGGAGCACATTCCCAGAGCACGAGGGCTTTTGCCAGGACTCGTATTCCTTCTAGGACTGGGCTAGCTTTAATAGAAACTGAGATGTGAGGGAAGGGTCAGCAGTTTATCCTAAACCACTCAGCTCAGAGTGAGAAGAAAGTGTGTGAGCATTTCTCCCCCCCTCGTGGCCACAAGATAGGCCATAGCTACTCCTAGATGTGCCAGACCAAGCCCAGGGCACCCAGAGCCCCAGGGTGTGTGTCCCCTCCTCCCCAGGCAGGAGGAAGGGAGGCTGTTAGGTATATGCAAATGATCAGGTGGGCCCCAGCCTGGAGTTGCCCTCCCCGATTCAGGGGCATGAACTCACCTGCCCTTTTTACCTCCTTTCCAGCAAAGCCTCTAGGTTATCACTGAAAGGCCACAGCAGGTGACACAGAGGAACAGGAGGGGACCAGACACAGATCAGATAGGGAAAGAGTGACCACACTGCCCACCCAGGTGGGTGGGAAAGGGCACAGCCAGCCCCAACTAACACTTGGGCACAGACAGGTCTGGTCTTAATGGATTCCCACACTGATGCACCCTATGCCTCAGGCCACTAGCACCAGTCAGCAGCTTATAAAGCCCAGCCTAAATTAGAGGCTAGGGAACCCCTTTAGGGTCACAGGGAAGTAATGCAAAAGGCAACACAAGGACAGCTCCAGCAGTCAACTTAAATGCTTTTATTGACAATGTCTCTGAACAATAATAAGCAAACAATGCTTAAGTTTCATCCAAATTCACTTTCCACATGTCAAAAAAGACCTCAAGGTAGAAAAAAATAAAATAAAAATATAAATATCTGAGAATCCATCTTAATAAATAAATTAAAAACACAATAAAAACGTTTTCATGGAAAACTTATGTCAGAACATTCAGACCACCTCAACAATGCATGATCAGTAAAGGTACAATGAACATCAATGTAGAACTACAGTACATGGATATAGCTATTTATCTACCTACTAGAAAATAAAATAGAGTCTCTTTCCCCCCACGTAAGATGGGTCATCGCTAAGTCATCAGAACACGATATTGCCAGGAACACAGTAGTTATTGTTAATCAGCTGCACTAGATACGAGTTGGAGATACCCAGCACCAAGTTAAATTCCAATCATTTAAAACCAAGAGATTAATTAGTTAATGCTAGTGATACTAAGGAGGGGAGGGAGTCACCTACCCAGCCATGTGGGACATGCTACAGACTACCAGCTCTCATGGATGGGCCATTGGGGACGAGACAAACTCCATGCGATTTGCTACATCTCTGGAAGAGGTACGAGGCCTCGGTGCAGGGTGCTCGGCCAGGCCCCGGGGCACCAGGCCAGACGGGTGGGGTGGCGGCAGCGGGGCCCTCCCCAGGCCCGGGGAGCCCCATGGGGCACAGCGGGCGAGTCCGTGGGGGTGCGCGGGCAGGGGAGGGGGCCCGGCAAGTCAGTCAGTACTGGAGCCCCCTCACAAGGCCAGGAGGGTGGGGGAGCTGAGGGAGTCGGACGAGGGCTCGTTGCTGCTGCTGCCCTTCCGGTGCGCGGCAGCGCAGCTGGGGAAGGCGTCCGCCTCGGGGTAGGTAAAGACGAAGGTGGAGGTGTAGGTGCTGGGGCACGGGGTGCAGGTCACCACAGGGGTGCAGAGGGGCTCCAGCTCACCGCTGGTCCCGGCGCCCAGCGACTCCCAGTCCGACGCGTAGAAGGAGGAGGCCCCAGGCAGGTCCATGTCGGGCACGGAGCGGGACGCCTCCCGCGGCCCCGTGGAGAAAAGCAGCTCGTCGAA